TCACTTTGCAAATAAAAGAAGGAATAAAGTTCACATCCTCAAGATCATTATGGAAAAAGAGTGGGATCAAGGTGATAAAAATTGACCAAGTTATGATCATTTGAAGTCACACATGGGAAGTTAGGGGTTCATCTGGAGGACTTGTAATCTTTCTTCATCATCAAGTTTCTTCCACGAGAAAACTCCTTGAAACTTTTGAAGTAATTTGTTAATACCCCTTTGAAGAGAAGGATGTTTTTAGAATCACTAAAAAATACCAAAATATGAGCAAGATATACTTCTTTGAAGTTCAAAACCCTAGCTCCTAGATCAAGAAAATGCTTTGAGGAACTTTGACAATTTTAAACAACCTTCTTATACCAACACTTTTGCTTTGTAGATAGAAGTTGTTGAGGATGATAATGAGAACTCATAGCAACAAAAAACACTTCCATATCTTGAGAATTGAGAGAAATATGCACTTGTGACCAATGGGAACAAGGCCTTGTCCAACCATGACAACTTCTTCAATCAACCCCTTGTACTTTTTGAATCAATATTGATAACTTTGAAATGTGGTGAACCAAAATAAACCTTGCCATTCCATTTCTTCCAAAACAACTTCCATGGTGAGGTTTGAATTTCTCAAGCTTTATTGACTAGGGCATGTAAATAAACTCATGAAACCATGGACCAACCTGCTAAGCCACATTGCCTTTACCTACATTATTGACAAGAAAGACAAACCAGCATTGCATTTATTAATTAAAAGGAAAGTCAAAACAAAACATGCATGATCACAAAAGAAAAAAAAGTCAAGATGCTTTGTGATTCCTCAAAGAGCAAAGCTAAAGATAGGGAGGAGAACCAAAAGCCCTAATGTGATCTTGTTGTGATTGAATCAATATGGTATGATGAAGGGGTCTTAGGGGCAAAAATTGGGGTACTACAGTAATTATTATGGTTTTGTTACCGTAGATGATTACTCAAGATTTTGTTAGACTATCTTCTTACAGAGAAAAGATGAAACATTCATAGCTTTTACGCATTTCGCAAAGTTATCTCAAGACAAATTAAATTGAATAATTGTTATTATTCTAAGTGATCGTGGAAGTTAATTTGCAAGCCACCTATTTGAAGAATATTGTGATAAATATGGCATTGAACATAACTTTTAAGCTCCTAGAAATCCATAACAAAATGGTGTTGTGGAACAAAAGAATCGTGTTTATAGAAGAGTTGGAAAGAAAAATTCTCAATGATTGTGGTATACCAAAATATTTTTGGGCCGATGCTATTGGCATGGCGTGTTATGTCTTAACTAGGGTACTTATTCGCCGAATCTTAGACAAAACACCATATGAACTTTTAAAAGGTATAAAACCAAATTTATCACATATTCATGTCTTTGGATGCAAATGATTCATCTTAAATAATGGAAAGGATAACCTTGGGAAATTTGACACGAAGGTCGATGAAGGTATCTTTCTTGGATACTCCCAATCTAGTAAAGCATATAGAATTTATAATAAGAGATTTCTTATTCTTGAAAAATCGGTTCATGTTACCTTTGATGAGTCTTGCCCAAATAGTGTTGGGAAAAGGTACTACTTTTCATGGTGCAAGTGCATCTACAGGAGACATACTCAAGGACACAGAAGAATGAATTGATCAATCTAAGGAGGTGAAGCTTGAGGAGGAAGAGGATGACGACCATAAAAATAAGGATGATGAGAGTCACAAAGAAGATGGTGGTCTTCCATTGGAGTTGTAACACCCTTCTAAAACCCCACGATTTTCACGAATATTTTTAATAAATAAATAAACGTAAAACAACAGCAAGGAAGTCACATCTTTACATAAGCATAATTTCACATATATTCATGCTCCGTATCACGGGTTATAAACAAAATCTTAAATATAATCTTTAGTATCATAACTATTTCATTTCGAACTTAGCAATGGAATTAATGAGTCTTAAACCCTTCATAAAATAATCTCAATACCATGAAATGTAGTTCAAGTGTTAATAAATTGTCACATTTCATGTTCGTAACATCATGATCCAAAACATGGAAAATATCATGAAAGTAATACAAAATCTTAAAATAACAAAATCATGCATGATTCACAACCAATCAAAGATTGTACACCCGCAAGTTGAAAATATGAAAAGGCGACTTGGGCAAAAAAGGGTATCCCGGTGGACTAAAAACCCGAAAGGGCGGTCCAGGAAAAAGTTAAGGGTTGAAGCGTATGACTATGTCCTGTTGGATCACCTACATACAACAAGCTTTATTGCCAACGTCAAGTTTGAAAGATACGGATCGATTCAGTCAACTTCGTCCAACTGCAAGGGATGAGATGCTCGAAGACATAAAGGAAATAGCAGAGTTGAAACTCGATGGGATCGTTTACACATAACTATATGTTTTGTTTCTAATTTGGAATCTTTTCATTTTACGACGATTTTCTATTACTAGGATCTCTGTCTCATTGTATAAAACCGCCTATTTATAGGCAAATTATCAATACAAACATGCTTCAAAATTCAAATTTGTTTTACCTTCTCTATTTTGTTTGCCAAAATGACCAATGACTAAATTGAATGAACATATGCATATGAATATGATTATTGTTAACAAATATATGCTTAAAAACAGGAATTAGCATTTACTAAAGATTCTAGGAGTTTTGGTAATGTTCAAGTCGTCCATAAATCCCCACAGAAAAATCCCCGCAAAGCTACCTGCACAAGCTCATCCTTGACGGAGATACATTCCTCAGCGAGCCTAATATATCCTCAGACAGAAATTAAGGCATCTTCCAGCTATTAACATAATCATACTCCCTAGCAGATCCTCCTAGCAGATAAAGGAGTTTGAACATTTCTCCCGCATATAGTGAAAACTTCCTCCGCACAACCTATGGAATTCCAATCATCATAAGAGATTATGTCCTCAACACAATCCACAAGAAGTAGTATTCAAAGATGGTGTCGACTGCGGGATGTAACTAACACCACATGGTCGACTACTTGGGACTTAACTGCCTTGGTTTCCAGTGGACACTTTGTTTTCTGTATATGTGGTCGGGTTCGACTGTAACCCAATCATCATGGAATAAGGCATACCATATTGGTAAGGGACAAATGATGACCTTGGACCCCTTGGAAAGAGTGGTCGATTTGGGTCAAATGGTGATATCACGTGCCTAGGTTCTGTCATTGTGACTGTTGTCCCTGAACCATGAACATCGGTCGATCTTACGGAAGATAAAACTGTTGCGCTTTGAGTTGTGGTACTTACTGGTATGACATCCACATTTTGTGTAAAAATATGCGTGTGTGCCGTGTTTGTGTCGGAGCATGGCATTTTAGACTTGGATAAAAGTTTACCACTTCTCAAATTTATACACACACTAACTATAAGAACTTTGTAAAACTATACACAGAATAAGAAATTATTAGCACTGTCCCACTGGGTGTGCCAATTTGTTTACCTCTAGTTTTGGAAAACAATGTTGTCTCTTAACAAAAAGTTTAATAGTGAGATCGACCAGGGAATCTCGGTACAGTGCTTCAGTTTTTGAGTGTTTTCACAAAGTATGTTCAAAAGGGTTCGTTCGACTAAGGCGAAACGGACTTAAAAGCAATAAACCAGGACTCGTAAAATAAAACAGAGACGTTTTAAACTGTAAAAATAGATGACATAACATTAAAACAATTGAAAATGGGTTGATTCAAACATACATCCCCCGTACTTGACTCATTTCGCTCGTACGCTTGGGTACTCTGAGTGACTAGCGTATAGGAATGTGAAAGTTTGAATCCATTACACTATGCACTAAGTGCTTTATTTATAATACATGAAAATAACTACTTTTTATCGGGCTTCCCTTCTTTATGAGCCATGTGTCTCGTGTAACTTCCCTCCATGAACCTACGTTCTTCATTCTTGCTATCGAACTCATGTTCTCCATTGTAACTTTCCTCCATGAATCCACGTTCTCCATCCTTGTTATCGAACCCACGTTCTCTATTCACAACGCTTTGCTTTGCTAGTTATGCCCTCTGTTGGGCTTTTTAACACTCTTGGGCCCAATTCATTTCTCACGAGGCCTCTCTTCTGGTCGACTGCGTCTATAAGCCCAAATTAGCCTTTTATAAACCTCTTCTGGTCGAATGCTTTTATGGTCGACTTCCTATAATCCAAAATCTTCAAAGAACTTTTTTTTTACTTTTGATTAGATTTTAACCAATTTGTAAAAATCTTAACAACCATTTAATATGGTAAACAATAACATTATGAAATATTTTTTTATATTGTTCATTGAGCTGACAATACATAAATAATTTATGTTTTATTGTGATGATGTAAATTTGTTTAGAAATGTTTTGAGAGGTTTTGAAACTCAAAAAGAGCCCAAATTTCTTGATTTGTGGTGATTGAATCACACAAAGAAGTTTTTTTTTTATGACATGTTGAAGTGATTTGAAAAACATATATAATTGTGATAATTTATTATTTTTAATTATAATTTACATTTTTAAAAAGACTATTGGTTGAAAAAATTTGTTCATATTATGCAAAAGAAATCATAGAAAAAGACATAAATTTTTCATAATAGCACTTATACCAATGTCAGTGACTTTTTTTTCCGCTGCAAAAAATACATTTCATAACAATTTTGTATTTTTTTTCAACGATAAATATCACTGTCAAAAACCATTTTTCTTGTAATGGTTTCGTAGAGTTTGAGACGTTTGAATGTAGAATATGTGTTATCTATAAATGATAAAGATGCATTTTTAGAAATGTTGGGAAAGAAGAAGAAAACAAATAAGCCAAGGTGATACGGTTGAATTGCTGTCCACACAAGCTTTCTAATCAGAAATTTCAAAATTCCAAGTCTTCCTCTAAGTCGTCTTGTCTTTTTATTCAAGCTTTCCATAAGCCAACATCTTATATAATCACACTTGCATCTTTCAGCAAACCATACTTTGATCCAAACAATCATTCATGACCACTCTTACTACACAAATGTCACTTCTTTTGCTTCTTCTTTTATCTATAGCCACATTCCTCAAAACCATGTCTACCATTGATCACACCATGGTTTCATGCAATGAGAAAGACCGAGAGATACTTTTAACTTTCAAAAAGGGAATCATAGATCCTCATGGTCTAATTTCAACATGGACAACAGAAAACAATTGTTGTTCTTGGAAAGGGATCCACTGTGACAACCTTACCGGAAGAGTTACACGAGTTGAACTATCATCACCTCCTCTTAATGTTGAAGAAGAGCAACTCAAAAATTTGAAAGGTGAGATGAATCTTTCTATTTTAAAACTTGAGTTTCTCACTCACTTGGATTTGAGCTGGAATGAATTTGATATGATAAATGTTCCATCCAATCACCACAACATCACACATGTATCTAAACTTCTCTACCTTGACTTGTCCTCCATCATCCATCATTCTAGTCTTCAAATGGATAATCTTGATTGGCTTTCTCCACTTTCTTCTTTGAAATATCTCAGCCTTAGTGGAATTGATCTTCATAAGGAAACCAATTGGCTTCAAGCAGTGGAAAAAATTCCTTCACTATTAGAGTTACAGTTACGATCTTGTAACCTAAATAACCTCATGCTCAACCCATCTATTGAATATTTGAATTTGTCTTCACTAATAACTCTTGATCTTTCTTACAACTACTTCACCTCTCAATTACCTAATTCCTTTTTAAATCTCACCAAAGATATCACCTATCTTGACCTTCAAGGTAACTATATACAAGGTGAGATACCTTCAAGCTTGCTAAACCTTCGAAATTTAAGATACATTAGTCTTGCTTATAACCAACTCAGAGGATCAATTCCAGATGAAATAGGCCAATTACCACGTATTCAAACACTTACTCTTGCCGTGAACATGTTAAGTGGTTTCATTCCTTCAACTCTTGGAAACCTCTCCTCCTTATATTCCTTATCGATTGGCTTTAATAATTTCTCTGGTGAAATATCAAAAACAACTTTTTCCAAACTCAATAGTTTAGATTTACTAGAATTGACTAGTTTAAATGTTGTATTTCAATTTGATTTTGATTGGGTTCCTCCTTTTCAACTCAGCCAACTTTATTTGAGTGATTCAAATCAAGGCCCAAATATTCCATCATGGATATATACACAGAAATCATTGGAGTCTCTTGATTTATCAAGCTCGGGAATTTCATCGGTAGATAGGAATAAGTTTGTGAGCCTTATAGAAAGAATAAACGTTACTCTTGATTTATCAAATAATTCGATGACTCAAGACTTATCAGACTTAACACTAAAGGGTTTGCGGATAGATTTAAGTCACAATAATTTCACAGGAGGACTCCCTAACATATCACCAAGGGGCGTTAAACAAGTCGATTTGTCTTACAACTCCTTTTCAGGATCAATTCCACATAGTTGGAAGAACTTAAAAATTTTACATTACATTAACTTGTGGAGTAATAAGTTATCAGGTGAAGTTCTAACGCACCTCTCTCAATCGACACAATTGCGAGTCCTGAATTTGGGAGAAAATAAATTTTCCGGAACAATACCAGTCAACATGTCGCCAGACTTAGAAGTGATCATATTGAGAGCTAATCAATTTGAAGGGAACATTCCACCAGAGTTGTTCAACCTTTCTTATTTGACTCATTTGGACCTTGCACATAATAAACTTTCAGGTTCTATGCCAAAGTGCGTATACAACTTGACTCATATGGTTACTTATAATGTGAAAATATGGCAGTATGGTATTGTACTTGAGTTGTTTACAAAAGGTCATGATTATGTGTATGTAGTCCAACCAGACAGGCGAACTATTGACCTTTCAGTAAATAGTTTTTCAGGAAAAGTACCAGTGGAATTATTTGAGCTTGTTCAAGTTCAAACATTAAACTTATCTCACAATAATTTTAGTGGAACAATATCAAAGATGATTGGAGGGATGGAAAATATGGAATCTCTTGATTTCTCAAATAATAAACTTTGCGGTGAAATTCCTCAAAGCATGGCCTTCTTACACTTTTTGGGTTATTTGAATCTATCTTACAATAATTTCAATGGAAAAATACCGATAGGAACTCAACTTCAAAGTTTTAATGCATCGAGCTACATTGGAAATCCAAACTTGTGCGGAGCTCCTCTAAATAATTGTACCACAGGAGAAGAGAATCCCAAAAATGTAACACCAACACAAAGGAATGAAGATGAAGACTGTATAAGAAAATCATTATATCTAGGCATGGGAGTTGGATTTGCAGTAGGTTTCTGGGGGATATGTGGTTCTTTGTTTCTTCTCAAAAAATGGAGGCACGCATATTATCGGTTTGTTGATGGAGTTGGTGACAAGATCTATGTAACTTTGATGGTAATGTTGAATAGATTCAAGAGAAATTAAGCCTTGGTTAACTATGGTTAGTAAAATTGACTTGAAAATTTTATTGATCAAAATTATTTATATAGTATTATGTTTTAATTTAAAAATTAATCTATGACATGTTTCATTGAACAACTATTTAACATTTTGTTTTATTTTCTAGTTATATGTCTAAACTATATTCATTTTATTTGGTTCATATTTTACCAGGTAACTTTGTATGTAGAAGATCTTGCATTCTTATGCAAATCAAGGATATAGTTTTTTTCAAATGCATCCAATTCCATTATATCATCATTGTTGCTTTTAAATTCATATTTCATCTGTTGTAATGCTTTTGTTTATATTGAAAAACGTTGTTTTGGTAGTCAGGGAATTGATGTATTAATGTTGTTGTTGAACCTTGTTCTCACCTCAGGTTTTATGTATCTCTCATCATAATTTTTATACAAATGAAATGTTTTGGACACTTTTACGAAGTATTATGTATTTGTCATCAGACACTCTAAGATATGAAAATGATATCTAATAGAATGTATTTCGCACATTATGCATTCGATCTTCATCATTTTATAAGAATCATAACCACCTATATATATATATATAGTAAAGGATGCATGGCAAAGGACGCAATAATTAGTTACATGCATGGTGGTTATGTAGATATACAGCAATACACATGCTAAGCTATGCCTAAAATATAATTATAATATATAGTTAAAATATTACTTTCTTGAATATTTGATCCATAAATAGATAGCTATCCAATTGAGAAAGTTCAAAATTGCATTCACTTTCCAATATCACCTTCCAAGTAGGCAAGCCAGGATATGTAATATGGCTGGGTGATATCAATTCAAAAGTAATAATGCAAAATTTTACAAGTTCCTTGGCTGCACCGTGATAGAAGTCATATAAATAGTGTAAAATGTAAACACAATTTTGTGTAGGTTCCAATAATAATTCCTTGGAAAATAATACTAGAAGGATCCATGAATCCTCAACACCATAACCAAGCAAGGAAATGAGTTTACTTGCCACCCTAGGATTTGCAGTATGCATCACACCAGTGTTTAATGTGATAGCAACTTTGATAGGAAGAAAGAGCAAACTGCAATCCCTCTTAAGAATTTGATCAAACATGTTTCTTGCACTGTTGAGGTGATCCATTTGGCAAACTATATTGAAGATATCAGTTCCAATTGAGGCAAAAAAATTGAGCTCAAGCCAAATTCCACTAGATAGAGAACAACTTTGACAAAAACCAAAATTATGAAACAAACTAACAGTGTCATTATCAAGCTCAATAATGATTACCTATTTCTCTTCCTTCTCCAGACAGTGATGAACGGATTGTTTTGAAAACCATGACAAAAACAGTGACAATGTTTGAATGACAATTTGATTTGGTGGTTTTGGTGGAATAGCCGATGGTCTTCCGACTTTGACTCTATCTTGTACAGCTTCATCTATAGCTTCACAACATCTTCCATAGTTCCTACTAATGTGTAGATAGTTTTATAAACAACAATCCTTGTGCGTGGTGCCATTCCGCTTGCTCGCTCGCCCGTAACATAAACCATTCACTTCAACAGAAACACCAGCATTTCCAGCAGCAATAGATGCCACATGACTGCCATGTCCATCTCCATCAAAAGGTGGAAGAAAATCAACAGAAGCATTAAATTTAGCACTAGCTTGAGCACCAGCTGAGAAATATTTAGCTGAAACAATATTTCCATTACAAGATTCAGGTGGGAAGTGTGGACCAGTCTCACAAGCACCAGAAAAATGCAAGATATTTGTACTGAAAGTTTGAGAACCAAAAGCTTGGATGAAGTGGATTAATGCCACTGTCAATAACACCAATAAAAACTCATCACCTTTATTTTTGTCACCTCCTTATTCTGCCCAGACTCCTTGTGCTAAGTCAAGAAAATCAGGAGTATATGTTGTCAATTTCTGCACTCCTCTCCATTCAGGTTTGAAGTGCCAAAGAAAAGGATGAATAAATGATTCCCAACTTGCCATTAGATGATGTTGAGACCATTGAAGCCACAATTTTAGAGAAGTACCTTGCAACACAGAGACAACTATTAACAATTTTGACGATGATGATATTCCTGTTTCAACAAAGAATTTGTCGATGTCAAGCACCCACTCGTACGCATCATCCTCGCCGCTAAACACCGGAAACTCAATTGAGGATGAATAATAATCGTGGTAATAAGTCATTGGAGATTTGAAGTCAATGATGAAAACACCAATTGATATGAAGCTAAAACATAAACCCTATCAAGACTACATTGAACAACAGATCCAATAATCAAAGGTTAGTTTCAAATGAGAAGAATGCAAGAAGAATGGTGTTGTTGTGAATGTGACTAGCTTCCTCAGTTGTATTTATATATAGAATTGAAAGTCCCCGCCTGCGTTTCTCATATATTATTTACTTACTAATACATTAAACACACGTATTTTCAAAAAATCTTTCCACTTTAAACATCGTCTCCCTAAAACATTTCTCACCATTTTTTATTTATTTAGGATCTTTTACATTAGATCATAAGATCAAATTTTAAGTAAATAAAATGTTTCACGTGATATCTTCATTCATTATTTTTCAGATTAAGAAGTCCAAAGAAAAATATAAAATTAAAAATTTTAATATAATTAATTGTAAGAAGTAAGACATAACACCCAGAATAATAGCATCTATAATCACATTATTTGAAACATTTTTTCATTTTTTCGTGGTACTGAGTAGAATCAAAAGGAAACGACATCAAATACAAAATATAGTATTGCGTTCGTAATGTAGTACGTAGAAAATACAATTACTACAAATCAGATAAACAACAGATAAGATAAAATGAGCTACATGGTAAAGTAGGACGTTGGCGTAGGACGCTGTTTCTACCCACTTGGTAAAGTAGTCGATGACTATCAATATAAAGATGGAGAGTGTTGAGCATTCTCGATAGAATGGGCTTCAACGTACCAGAACCGTTCGACGAAGTATGGTGAGATCGGTTTGGAAGAATCACAAAAACAGATCCACAATATTAGAGACATTCCTTCCTCTAAACATGTCCAAAATCTCTGTTAAATCCATGGTTTTAGGTTTGGCTTGAATTTTGCTAAAACATGGTTCTGGGCTGATGTTTAGCAAGATGTCACAACATCTTAATCAACTGTTATGATAGGTTTGTTATCATGTGTATCAGATAGATGTTAAGTCAGATGTCTTGACATCTTGGTCTGTCTGCAGCAGGTGTTGCTGTTTTAATCTCTTAACGGATTTGATTTGTTTTTGAAAGATTCTTTTGGATCTATCTCATGATTACATTAACTTGTGGAGTAATAAGTTATCAGGTGAAGTTCTAACGCAGCAGAAGAGAATCCCAAAATTGTAACACCAACACAAAGGAATGAAGATGAAGACTCTATAAGAAAATCATTATATCTAGGCATGGGAGTTGGATTTGCAGTAGCTTTCTGGGGGATATGTGATTCTTTGTTTCTTCTCAAAAAATGGAGGCACGCATATTATCGGTTTGTTGATGGAGTTAGTGATAAGATCTATGTAACTTTGATGGTAATGTTGAATAGATTCAAGAGAAATTAAGCTTCGGTTAACTGGTTAGTAAAGTTCACTTCAAAATTTTATTCATCAAAACTATTTATATAGTATTATGTTTTTATTTAAAATTAATCTATGACAAGTTTCATTGAACAACTATTTAACATTTTGCTTTATTTTCTAGTTATATGTCTAAACTATATTCATTTTATTTGGTTCATACTTTACCAGGTGACTTTGTATGCAGAAGATCTTGCATTCTTATGCAAATCAAGGATATAGTTTTTTTCAAATGCATCCAATTCCATTATATCATCATTGTTTCTTTTAAATTCATATTTCAGCTGTTATAATGCTTTTGTTTATATTGAAAAACGTTGTTTTGGTAGCCAGGTTTTATGTATATCTCATCTTAATTTTTATATAAATGTAATGTTTTGGTTCTTTATGAAATACTATGTATTTGTACACTCTAAAATATGAAAGTTATATCTAATAGAATGTATTTCGCACATTATTAGTTACATGCATGGTGGTTATGTTGATATACATCAATGCACATGCTAAGCTACCTAACGTGATGCCTAAAATATAATTATATTCAACAGTTAAAATATTCAATGGCCTATGCTACCCAATGTAATATTTGGGTAATTTACTTTCAATGACATATAATAATGAAATTTTATCACATAAAATTAATTTTTAAAATCGTATATTAACCCAAAATTTTAAAATATTGGGTTGATGTCTTTTCTCACTTAAAAAAAATTCAATATCCTTTTTTCTATCTAATATGAGAATAATTACTTACACTTGACATACCAACATCTTACTACTCAAAAATCAAATTATATATTATTTTTTTAATTTCATTTTGATTTTTTAAGATTTTAGATTAATATGTGATTTTAAAATGTTACTTTATATGATAAATTTTGATTGATACACATCATATGAGGTAAATTACCCCTAAATTTATAAGGAGTTGACAAGAATTTACTAATATTCTCATAGCTTTTGTTTTCAATATTGAAGATGAAGAAGGCCAACTTGATATAAATAGGTTTGTCCAATACTATTGTGTTACTTAGGAAACAATTTAATATAATTCTGAAGAGAATGAATAGAAGAGAAAGACCAAATGTTAAGAATATCTCATCTGACACCAATAATAACTATGATGCTTAAAAAATACCAGAACTGCAGACAAGTCAAATCAAAGCAAAGGTATTAAATGTTATGAGTGTGAAGATTTTGGTCATATTATGCCAGGATGTCCCAATTTTCTCAAGAAGTACAAAAAAGAGTTTATTATATCTTGGTCTGATGGTAATGAGTCAGAAGATGAGGATGAGGAAAAGAAATCATACTGATTCGATTGTGAAATTTGTGACATAAAATATTCTTTTTGATGTCTCAGTTACAATCTGCACATTATACACACCAAACATAAAAACTGATCACAATAGCATGAATAAAATCAATTAAAATACAAAATAAATAATTAACGACAAAAATATCTTCCAACATAAATAGATATCATATATTTGTATGTTCAAAATAACTTAATGGAAAACAATCCAAATAGTTATTGAAAGTCCACTAATACTTTTCAACCGGATGTTTAATGTTAAAACTTAGTTCTAAATGCTACCAATCAAAAAATATTAAAAAT